TCTCTCTCTCTCTCTCTCTCTCTTTTTAAGGTGCAGGGCAGCACATCGAGGAGAACGAGAACCCACAGGGCCTCAGACATTGTAAAGCAGGTGAGCATACATTTGTTTGAAGGGCACAGAGATCCATGCTAATTTATTCAACACTCTTATGCCTGCTGAAAGGGTAGCATATATATTTTTTGTATTATAATAAATGAAAATCAAAAACATCAATTCAAACCTATATAACTTTTCTGTCTTTGTCCATCATCTCTTTATAATTTTTTAATTATAAAAGGGACGAAAGTTTGAAGGCTGAAATGGGAACTGAAATTTAGTCACTGTGAAATCTGTACTTCGTAATGTCATTGAGGGTTTTCAAGTAGAGTTTGCTCAAGATGTATGCACACTCGAGGCATTTTTCCTCATCTTTTGTGAAAGTCAAAGTGGCAGAGTGACATAAAATGGGATGATTAAGAGTCAAACTGCATAATCAGATTTGAGTGATGAGTCACAGTTTGTCCAACAGGACTGCCGAACTTGGAGATTCCCACTGAAAGCCACATGGGCCTGCCTATAGGGGTGGTTATGTGTGATAACTAATCATTTTGGTTCTGTTCTGTGAAGTATTTGATTCCTTGTAAATCAGAACAAATGACGTTGTCATGCATTTGTTGCAAAACTGAGTTTTCCATGATCTGTGCAAGGAAGGAGAGGTTTTTTAGTTAATAAGGGCACCTATGGTTATCCTTGGGCATAAAGTGCTGAAATAGAAATTAGAAGGAGACGATTCAAGACTTCTTTTGTGCCAAATGAATGTGGGTAAACTTTGAAGGCACCTGAATGAATAACATTCTTGACGAAAACACAAGGGATTACTGGAATTATGTTTGTTTTGACTTGCATAGAATACCACATGGGTGGAGTTGGCTGATTCATTGCCATGAGATCAATATCAAGCTCACAAAGTTCACTGAGTTTACTCGGACCACTGGTAATGTGATGTTCCTCTTAATCTTGTTTTTTGCTTCTTTTTAAGTAAGAAAAAAACGTCCTCCAAACACTACTGTGTATTTCTCATGCAGTACTCGGCATAGATGCCACAGTACTTACTGACTGTATTGAACAAAGTATCGAACCCTAAAGTGCTCTTGTTTTCCAGCCCCATGGTTAGATTAACTGCAAAATATTTGCATGTTTCACACATCGGTTTTCCAGCACTTTCTCATAATTCAACATGACATGTTTAGTATGTTTGGAAGCATCTGGAGCTTCACTAGAACATGAAATAAAGTTCTGTGCTTTTGAACAGTGCTTGGCTGCAGGATATGCTTTTGACTGGAGTCGGCCAAAAGAGTTCATTGTAATTTTCGTTTAGTTGTGAAAGCTCAGTTTGCTTCTGCGTGTGACCTGTGTCCTTTTTCTGTGATGAGTGGAACTAATCCACTTAAGTTTAAAGTTAAAATCTTGTGTAAAAAATTAAAATGAATTGGAAGCAAAGTATTCCAAAAATTAAGAACTTAATGAACTCAATAGGAAGTAGTCCTCTACAGTATAATAATAACTTTATAATGTAGACTATTGATTAAAGCAGTGGTTTAATGTTGGAGCTGCTCCAGGTGTCC